ACCCTAGTGAATAAACACAACTATTTATTTCCTGTTAAACTGTGTTGAATTGCATGCCTTTTCGTTGAGTGCCTACCCTAGAGTTACAACAATATATATAGATTAGGCAATCAGCAGTGGTCTCGCCATAGCTCTAACAGAGAATCAAATAAACAACAGATTTAGAAACCTTTGAGATAAAGACCTAATATGATGTCTATAAGTTGGGCGAAGCACTTTCTGAATCAACTGCGTAAATCAGTGAAGCCCAGCCTTATTCAGCTTACGGGCCTATTTAATTCCCAACACTCGTGTTGCGGGCCACATCACCAAAAAGATTTTTTTTAAAAGGAAATAAAAAACCAATTTTATTAGAAATCCGTGACTCTAGTACTTACAATAATGAATGAGTAGTTTATCCGAAACCAAGTTCTTCTCATCTGGCTACATAAATGAGACAGAAAGTTAGAGTAGCCTTTGTGACGGTTGAAACTTCATTAAACAGGTCTTTGCCAGTGGGGGTCTAATGCATGTTCATAAAAGCTACTTACATCTCTATATGTTGCTGTTTGTGCCGCGAATAAATACCAAAAGCTTGATCCGCATCAGATATGTCGGTGGACTCATTAGCGGCAATAGAAAACATTTCAAAATCTGCTGCTCTGTCTCTTAGTTTTGAATGGAGATTTGACCCCCCGTGTCTTAGTTTTGAATGGAGATTTGACCCACCGTGTCTTAGTTTTGAATGGAGATTTGACCCACCGTGTCTTAGTTTTGAATGGAGATTTGACCCCCCGTGTCTTAGTTTTGAATGGAGATTTGACCCACCGTGTCTTAGTTTTGAATGGAGATTTGACCCACCGTGTCTTAGTTTTGAATGGAGATTTGACCCCCCGTGTCTTAGTTTTGAATGGAGATTTGACCCCCCGTGTCTTAGTTTTGAATGGAGATTTGACCCACCGTGTCTTAGTTTTGAATGGAGATTTGACCCACCGTGTCTTAGTTTTGAATGGAGATTTGACCCCCCGTGTCTTAGTTTTGAATGGAGATTTGACCCCCGTGTCTTAGTTTTGAATGGAGATTTGACCCACCGTGTCTTAGTTTTGAATGGAGATTTGACCCCCCGTGTCTTAGTTTTGAATGGAGATTTGACCCACCGTGTCTTAGTTTTGAATGGAGATTTGACCCACCGTGTCTTAGTTTTGAATGGAGATTTGACCCACCGTGTCTTAGTTTTGAATGGAGATTTGACCCACCGTGTCTTAGTTTTGAATGGAGATTTGACCCCCCGTGTCTTAGTTTTGAATGGAGATTTGACCCACCGTGTCTTAGTTTTGAATGGAGATTTGACCCCCCGTGTCTTAGTTTTGAATGGAGATTTGACCCCCCGTGTCTTAGTTTTGAATGGAGATTTGACCCCCCGTGTCTTAGTTTTGAATGGAGATTTGACCCACCGTGTCTTAGTTTTGAATGGAGATTTGACCCCCCGTGTCTTAGTTTTGAATGGAGATTTGACCCCTCGTGTCTTAGTTTTGAATGGAGATTTGACCCCCCGTGTCTTAGTTTTGAATGGAGATTTGACCCACCGTGTCTTAGTTTTGAATGGAGATTTGACCCACCGTGTCTTAGTTTTGAATGGAGATTTGACCCACCGTGTCTTAGTTTTGAATGGAGATTTGACCCCCCGTGTCTTAGTTTTGAATGGAGATTTGACCCACCGTGTCTTAGTTTTGAATGGAGATTTGACCCACCGTGTCTTAGTTTTGAATGGAGATTTGACCCACCGTGTCTTAGTTTTGAATGGAGATTTGACCCACCGTGTCTTAGTTTTGAATGGAGATTTGACCCCCCGTGTCTTAGTTTTGAATGGAGATTTGACCCACCGTGTCTTAGTTTTGAATGGAGATTTGACCCCCCGTGTCTTAGTTTTGAATGGAGATTTGACCCACCGTGTCTTAGTTTTGAATGGAGATTTGACCCACCGTGTCTTAGTTTTGAATGGAGATTTGACCCCCCGTGTCTTAGTTTTGAATGGAGATTTGACCCACCGTGTCTTAGTTTTGAATGGAGATTTGACCCACCGTGTCTTAGTTTTGAATGGAGATTTGACCCCCCGTGTCTTAGTTTTGAATGGAGATTTGACCCACCGTGTCTTAGTTTTGAATGGAGATTTGACCCACCGTGTCTTAGTTTTGAATGGAGATTTGACCCACCGTGTCTTAGTTTTGAATGGAGATTTGACCCACCATGTCTTAGTTTTGAATGGAGATTTGACCCCCCCGTGTCTTAGTTTTGAATGGAGATTTGACCCCCCGTGTCTTAGTTTTGAATGGAGATTTGACCCCCCGTGTCTTAGTTTTGAATGGAGATTTGACCCACCGTGTCTTAGTTTTGAATGGAGATTTGACCCCCCGTGTCTTAGTTTTGAATGGAGATTTGACCCACCGTGTCTTAGTTTTGAATGGAGATTTGACCCCCCGTGTCTTAGTTTTGAATGGAGATTTGACCCACCGTGTCTTAGTTTTGAATGGAGATTTGACCCCCCGTGTCTTAGTTTTGAATGGAGATTTGACCCACCGTGTCTTAGTTTTGAATGGAGATTTGACCCCCCGTGTCTTAGTTTTGAATGGAGATTTGACCCCCCGTGTCTTAGTTTTGAATGGAGATTTGACCCCCCGTGTCTTAGTTTTGAATGGAGATTTGACCCACCGTGTCTTAGTTTTGAATGGAGATTTGACCCCCCGTGTCTTAGTTTTGAATGGAGATTTGACCCCCCGTGTCTTAGTTTTGAATGGAGATTTGACCCCCCTTGTCTTAGTTTTGAATGGAGATTTGACCCCCCGTGTCTTAGTTTTGAATGGAGATTTGACCCACCGTGTCTTAGTTTTGAATGGACATTTGACCCACCGTGTCTTAGTTTTGAATGGACATTTGACCCACCGTGTCTTAGTTTTGAATGGACATTTGACCCACCATGTCTTAGTTTTGAATGGACATTTGACCCCCCGTGTCTTAGTTTTGAATGGACATTTGACCCCCCGTGTCCTGCACTCGTCTTGTAATTGTCATGAGCTTCATTCTTTTCTTGTCATGGCTCGCAGCAAGCAACCATTTTTTTTACGTATTCGAAGTCTGAAAATGACTGTATCTCTATCAATAGGAGCAATATGATTTAATTCTTGTCTCTTTTTTTTTTTTTTGGTAGATATTTTCATCTATCCATCTTATTTGTTTTTGTGTTATAATGTTGGGTGTTATGTTCTTTTAAAAGAGCTACATTTTCAGTATAAAGCAAATATGTTGGCTTTTTATCAGTATCCCACCATCCATCAAAGAAATAGTGACAGCACTAAGGTAGGGAAAGATTTTTTCTACTTTTTTTTTTTTTGTGGGGATGTGATTTTGTACACTTTGTGCCAATATTTCGGCGGGCCGGATGGAACCCCCTCGCCGGCCGAATCTGGCCCGTGGGCCGTAATTCTGGAATCACTGGCGTATATATGATTACGTTTTAGTGAAACTCTACATGAGAGATACATGTTAGCGATTCGGTGGATGTTTTTCGTTCATCGTTATTATGACGATTTTAGAAAACAAAAAAGGTGGATCTACATAGATCAACAACATTGACACTATCATTTTATGTACATAGTCACACAAATTATTTAAAAAAATAGAATGTATAAGAGAGATTACAAGCAATTAGAACCGGACCAGAGATGACAGCCTATTTATAGCTACCTCTGCTGACATAAAATAAGGGTCAAGATTGTAGGCCTTGGTTCTAAACACACACACACAGCACAGCTCATGGACAACAAAAACAACTACGTCTAGAGACCCAAAGGTTATTCATAAAAACATCTGTCTGGGAGGCGCCACATGTGTGTCCGTGTACAACAATTACACAGTTACACTAACAAGTTGTCTTGTGTCCGTGTACAACAATTACACAGATACACTAACAAGTTGTCTATCCTTTTTTTTTAATTAGACATTAGCCAACCACTAAAGTCCCTTTGAGAACCAAAGGGTTCAAATTTGTTTATTATCTCCAAAAAGAAAAACGTTTTTGAAGCGACCTCGCAGGACTTGAGCTGCTATTGTCTTGATATCTATTTCTGTGTGTGTTTTCTGAATTTCAAAAAGAAGTTCTGTTAGACAACTCAACGTTCTCTTCGTCCTGTTTGAAATTCTATCAGTTTCACTCCACATTCTGTGATTTCAATGTGTCAACTTGTGATGTTTAAGTAGCTCCTTGCATTATTATCTAAAAAAAAACAATAATCGTAAGGGTAGACAACTTGTATTATTCTTAAGGACGGTTACTTTATTCAGTAATCCCTAAACTTGTAAGGGAAGCATTAAAATGTTCAGTAGAGATGAAATGTCATCTCAATAAATTTACACATTTAAAACTCTAATTAACAATTCCAACAAAACTAACATAAAAATAAAGTATTATTTTAAATATAAAATATACGATATGTAATGTGTATGCATTTGTACAAAATATAGACGTGATGTTCTTTTGTTTAATGTAGTAACTATATCGAGTGGTTAGAGACTATATGTACTGGAATAAAGATTAAAAGGAAATAAGGATTTAAATGATTTCAATAGTTGTAACTCTCCTGGACCACTTAACAGTACTGCTTGACTTGAAGTCAACATAACTCATTCTAGTACTTATGAGTAATATTGTTAATATTAATGTAATTTCAAAATGTCACTAGAATAGGATGCTGTGCCCAAAAGATATAGCCATGGGTCATGGGTCCCCATTGTACACGATAATTTGGGTTTGAATGATATTAATGAGACTACTTTGGGACAATAAGCTGTGGTACATTTGGTGCCGCAAATATTTTAAAACCTAGACACAATGTATTTAAAACTATTTTTAAAAAACAACAAAGTTAGGTTTTATTTACTTTCTATAAACAAATGACTAGATCTATTACACAAACTAAGCAACCTAACAACACAATAAATAAAGATAAAATTAACAACAAAATGGTATACTTGTATTCATTTTTATTAGAGACTTTGCTATGAAACACTAGAGATTATTCCATTTTTCACAGTTTTGTAATAAGTTTCATTTTCATTTGATTACTTAAAACTCCAATAACAACATGTGACTGTTAAAACAACGAAAGTGCAAAGCAACAGTTTTAAAAGAATACTCATGGTAGTGTATAAGTGTAGTAGCTAAAAGTCATTCAAAAAATGAATTATTAAACAGAGTGAACTACAAACATTATCTATTGTAATACATGTGGTTGAAACATCAAGGTCCTTTGTTTACTCATTTGTATTTCCTACAGCCAGATAAGGTGTGTGTGTGGGGGGGGGGGGGGAGGGGAATGTTACTATCTTTCACACAAATTGTTTTCTCACATACATTTACAGTTTCTTAACTTCTCACAAACCTTTACACTTCACTGTGCTATATATAAATAGATGCCATTTTCTTGAGACATTATGGATTGGAGTAAGGTGGTGCACTACAAACTAAGAAGAAAAAAAAAGGAAAGACCTAGAGGTTTGGATGGATCTGTACTGTAAAAAAAATACATTTATAGAATACAATTTAAGCATCTATCACAAAGATCTTATGAACAAGGGCGTTGGGCACATTTCCACAGGTTTTAGAGTCACAAGAATGAAATAGTTATGAACAATTAAACCACATTATCAAAGAGTTATTTAAATGTGTTTAAAAGTGTACAATAGAACCAGGGCTTGAAAAATGCTCTAGTAATGAAGTCATGATAATTATGGTCCTTTGGAACTTAACAGCATAACAGTAAAGAGGGAATGAGCCCTGGTAAGGCTGATCATAAATTTAAGTCTAGATGTTAGCTGACAATATTTTGCTACAAACATGTAGAAACTGATTAAAACATTGCCATTCTTAGAATGAAATGAGTACAACCTTCAGAGACTTGTAAGCTGAAAGTAAAAAGTGGATTGACAAAGAAAAAAAGTATTATCCAAAAAAAAACAACATTTCTATATCGCAGTAAATGAGCATTTCATAGAGATATAAAAATGTGGATTTATTTATTCTATTAGAAATGGAACAATAAATGCACAAAATAAAAATGAATTTACAATGTGTTCATCTCTTTCTCCATCACTTCAAAAAGTGGGAAAACAAATATAATTAATAAGTTAACAGAGTATAGATACACAGACAAAATTTCAGGAACTATTTCTTCCCAAACATGAATCACAAGATTAGGTTTAAGGACTGGACAGGGATCTGGAATTCTGACTTCTAGTTCTACACAACATCATCATCTGAGTCTTGACTGGTCTCTGTATTACGGACTAACATGTAATTGTCCATATCGATGGAACGACAGTGGTTGATAGCATAGCGCAGCTTGCTGGCCATGGCTGCTTGGCTGCTGTAAGCTGGGAGTCGCAGCTGAAAAAAGCAAGTTTGCGATGTAGGCAAGCTGTCTCTACCCTGTGAATGTTAAAAGAAACATATTTTTAGCTTCATTGTTTACAAACATTTAAAATTTTTGATCTTCCAAAGTAAATTATATCCCACACCCAATTTCAGCAATGTTTTTCTTTCCTATATTAAAATAAGCATTAATGTTTTAAAATAAAAAATTTCACTGACTCTGTCAGATGTCATGATCTGGAATCTCTGAGTAATATCTGCAGGGTTGCTAGGCAACCTGGTTCTCCCAGAAATAAATCTCAAAAATTGGATGCGCTCTTCATTGGTGAAACTCTCCAATACTGCCCAAAACCATCTGACCAGGACATGGTTCTCATCAATGCCTCTATATCTGTAGATAGAAAAACACATTAAAAAAACAAGATTAAAAAGAGCACAAAGTCTATTTTAAGACTAAACCAAGAAGAAATGTTACCAATGAAAGAAAAAGACTTACCTTACAACTTTCTGCAATACTTCAATGTTGACCTCATCAGTGCCACAAACTAATTTCTCCAATGCAGAAGCAGTCAAAAGAGTCAAAAGTGGTACAGGTATAATACCAGCCATTCCTTCTCTAATTAACTGAACCTGAAGGCAAAACATTCTTATCACATGATCAGTCAGTCAATGGAAATGTTTCCTACTTAGATTGCTATGTTGTTTTTTATTATGGATAGCTATGCTTTTTAAAATATATTTTTCTCTTTAAAATGTGTTCAAAATTCTTATTAACAAATGTTATAAAGTTTAGTAACAGTTGCATATGAGAGTTAAATAAAACAAATTAAAATGTAAAATTAATGCAGTTTATTTTGGCAATTTTGATTATTAAAATTCAGTCTTCATTCTACCAATATCTCCACATTAATTTTTCTAGCCCTGATTTCAGCCATTTCACAAAGAAATATATTCTTGAATATTACCCTAATAAAATTGAAAGCAACAAATCTTAGTCACTTAGTATCCCTACAGTTATTATAACCAAAGCTCATCACTATTTTCATTTAAATATATATTTGTTTGAGTAATTCTAAAATAGGAGCTGTGCCTCTAACTCAACTCTCTAATGCAGTGGTTCCCAAACTTTTTTGTCTCGTAGACCCCTTGCCAAGTTTTCTGGTTTTCCGTAGACCCCCTGCTTAAGTTATATTGAATTTTTGAAATTCATCAATTTCAAATTACACATTTTGCTTACAATAATATCTAACCAGTGACACGAGGAGTGAAAAAGTAATTTAAAACTACATTTTAAGTTGAATCTATTTTTTTAAATAAATTTATTAACAAAATTCAAATTTCAACCCATTATTTAATGGTTAACACTTACAGCATACAATCACTAAACACATTTGAAACATTTGTTTTTAAAGGCTTGTAAGTTCACCATCCATTGCTATGGAGATTATTTTTCTTATACGGATGTTGTTTTATGAAGTAGTTCTTCAAAACATTAAAGATAAATGTGCCTAAAGTATTACAGTAAAAGTTTTCACAAAGAGCAGTTTTCGTGGGTTTCTTGAGCCATAATAATTTGAATAAAAAAATCATTACCAGACAAGGTTGATCCAGCCAGCTTTATAGAGGAATATGTTGATTGCAGAAATATGTCGTTTGCAAAGACTTACATAAGAAGAAAGAAATATTTGACTATATTCCAACAGAGCTCAAGAATTTAGTGAACTCTTCTACAAATCGATCGCCCTAATAATCGATAAGTCAGAGTTTGCATGGATGGTTCTCAGAAAGCCTCCACAAACAGAGGAGCTGAAATACTCATTTAACGGCCAATGGAGAAAAAATAATTTAAAAATTAAGTTCATTGTAACTAATGAGCTCTATGACAACCACAGAGAAGAAATAGGAGCACTGGATCTAACAGCTACCATGCTAGCGAATCAGCCAAGTTCACCAAACAGTTATAATATAAAAATAGTCCTTCAAAGCTTGACAAACTCTGATGCTTCCTAAATAAAACAACTCATGATGCCTGGACTGACGTTCGGTTGTCAGCTTGCCTGCTCGCATCTCCCGTCGGGAGATTTGGGATTGGATGTAATTATCCACATAATCTGAAGGAGCATCCAAAAGATTTTGTACAAAACCTATTATGTGACCTTGTAAAGCACAACAACAACAATGTTGAAATAGAAGGCTGACTGACTTGCCAAATGTGAGAAAACAAATACACACTTGAACATCGCACTCTATCCTGAAGAAATGAAGAAACTAATAGTGAATTGTAAAAAACGAGAAATGGACAAGCTCTCATTCGATATACAAGAAAGATGACACCTATTATAAACTATCCCGATTGGACCACCTATAACTGTTCACATCAGAACAGTACACATTATAATGAGAAAATATATGTTCTGGAAGCTTAAAATTGGGGCTATTGTAATTAGCCCTTTTGGAGTCTCACCAGAGAATGCCAACCATGTCTTCAAAGTTGCATTCTTCATCAAGAGTCCCTACAAGACATCGGCCACAAAACCCAAACATGAAATTCTTTTAATGATATAAGTTTGTGTTAGAGTGTTTTACAATTTCTTCAACGGCTGGTAAAAATCAATATCGTGTGAGGTTTTCAGTATTTTACTATAATCATCATCTTCTCAATATCAGGTCAAAGAGAGATTTTGTGGGCGTATTCCGAACTTTATCTTTGAGTGTTTTGCAAACTTTTATCTTTTTATCAGGGTGGCATCATCTCAAATGATCCTACAGCTTAATTGGTTTCATAGCATCATAAAAATGGCACATTAACACTCGCTTGTTTGACAAGGAAGTTATGAAGTTCAATTTCAAATACTTAACACTGTACAGTCTACATTTCTTTTTGCTAAAGTTATAACTAGACAAAACTACACTACTTAAATATTGTTATTAAATTAAATTAGACAATATTTCATTTAATCAGCAGGATACAAATTTTAAGGATTTCCTAAGGTACAAATCATAAATGTGTGAATGAAAAAATTCCAATTACCAAAATTAAAGTCACGACATGCTGAATTGCGATTCTTTATCATAGACCCCCGAGCACATCTCATAGACCCCCAATTCCCATTTTAACTTTCATAGACACCTTGGAAGTCTTCCTAGACCCCTGGGGGTCTATATAGACCACTTTGGGAATCACTGCTCTAATGACACATCAACCAGTTCATGTTGTCTTAACTCTTAATGTGGTGAGCTTCAAGAAAACAAGTTTTGTTCACATTTTTTTTTGCAGAAAAATGTTCAATTAATGCTATGGTAGTCAGGTTTTACTGCAATACTGTTTACAAATATTCAATGCATTTGTATGATGTTAGTCTTGTGTCTCTCATCTATTTTTAGATCATTTTTTTTATAACAACAATATATATAATTGAATGATTCTTGTAAGAGAACTATTGTAGCAAGAAATTGTTCTCAACAAACCTGTTTGTCCCATTCATGTAGCCTGTACTGTAAGACACACTCAACATACTCATGACGATTGTGGAAATGTACAGGAAGTGTCTGACCACCTACTACTACTGGAACAATGTGACCACTGGAACTTCTGCCTTCAAATGTCTCTATAGGTATGAACTGGGGATAAACAGCAGAGTTTATTTCATGTGTCAAAGTGATGCTACATTTTACAAGAGTTAAGTTTAATCTTTTCTACATAGAACTTGTGAAGTGCACTGCATGGGTTGGTACTGCCTTTTGCAGGCCATTATGACAAAACATTCTAAAAGAGCCAAATTGGAGAAGCATAAACAGAGATGAAGAATAGAAGCCCCTAAGCTATGGACTATTGAGTTTTTCATATGCAACTGAATACTGACCATCTACTATGACCTGAAGAAATGTGATGGACAGACAATCACAGAATAAAATAATTAATGAATGAATATGAGAGACAAG